CATGAACAGAAAGCAAAAATGTTCATGGAAAATGGATTTCAAAGGCATGTGCATAAGTATTCCTGGAAATCTAATTTTATGTTTTCAGTAAAAGCATCTGCTACCATACAAGGGTTGAGAAGGAAAAAAACAATAGGACATTTAGCTGACCACTGCACAGCTACCTTCGCTTCTCACCCAAAGAGGAGAAAATGGGACCATATCCCAGCAAATACAAGAGTGATATTGTTAAGCAAGCAGGACAAGGCAGCTAAAATGCAGTTATTTTGTTCTTGTGGCATGAACAGAGGGGTTGAGTTTAAAGCTCATTTTTGTTGTAAGATGATGCTTGCAGAAGGAGATCTGTTTGGATATCCAGCAGGCGGCTGGGGATAATAGGTATGAGAGGCCCTAAATACCCATCTACCCATTGAGTGTGTAGATGAGCTCACCAAATGATAATAATGTTACTTTACCAGGAAATGGGAGAGGAATTATCAGAAAGAATAGGCAAAAAAAACCACTTAACTGTAATTTCTGAAATCCTTTCCAGCTCTTGACTAAGATATTTTTGTTGTCACAGAATAAACCAAGGAACGGTAAAAAAACAGTTGCTCAGGGTAGCAGAAAGGGACGTAAGACAGAAGAGAACTAAAAAAGCACCCCGGCATGGTACAGGAAAAGCTCCATCAAAAATAATGAACCTAAATTCCCTGCCTCGGTGGCTGAAGAAACAAAGGATGAGATTGTCTGGCTCTGGAGGTCATAGCCTTCATGTGCTGTTAATAGTGTTTATATCATAAAGCAGCATTGCTACATTAGCTTTGATTTAGCAACGCCAGTTTACTTCAGCTGAGGAAGTGATCCATAAATCCAACTCTGCATCTCTGTAAGCACAGTGAATGGAGAAAGGCTTGCTCATCCCTGGAATTGAGGGACTTGCTGGGCTGACCTGGCCACTCCCTGGTGCCCACCCTTGCTGTCACTGCTCTGTTACCCACCTGTGAGATGCAAAAGGGACAGCATGCCGCTTGTGTGGCTCAGACACTGGTTATACAGCCCCATCCATCCACGTGTGGTAGTTCTGCTCAATTTCATGTCCCACTCCAGCGGCTGGCTGCGCAGGGAGTGAGCCTCAGAATCTCTCTGAAATTCAAGTGTCAGGAGAAGAGATTTTAGGGTAAAACAATAAAAGTAATATTAGCAGATTGCTGCGACCAGGCAATTTCACTCAAGAGCTCTGAGGGAGCTCAGACTCGAAACTGCTGACCTATTCAGTACAATGCCACAGCAGCTGTTGAAATGGTGAGGCACCACAGGACTGGAAGGTGGCAAATGTTACATTCATTTTTAAAAAGGGCTTTTAGAGGCCATCCAGAGACCTGTGGGCTGGAAAGCTGGGCAAGGCAAATTGACAGAAAGTGTAACAAGAGCAGAATAGCCAGCAATGCAATAGAACGGGAAAGAGCAAAGTTTGTGGCGTGAAAGCTGGAGCAGGGCAAATCCATTCACGTCAAGACCTGGGCAACTTGACATATTCATAAAAGATTGAACTCCAACCAAGTGGAGAGTGATCTCAGAAAACCAAATGACAGGTTGATAAAATGACATATGAAACTTGCCAGCAGCAAATACAAAGCAAGAAGCATGAGGAGCACCAGCCCTAGCCACACAAAGATCATCAGGCTCTCTGAATTAACATCAGTCAGGAAGGAAACCTCAAAGTCACTGAAAATTCCAGCTTAATTCTCAACAGTTGTCAACAAGGAAAAAAAAAAAAAAGAGATTTAGGAATGACTACAGAATTAAGAGAGAATGAAAAAGTGAGCACTTCTAGGGTACCCCTGCCTCAAACACAGGCCAAGAAGGAAGTAGAAGAATGGGTGAAGATACAGAGAGGTGGCACAAGAAACATGCAATGGTTTCCATAGGCAGTCAGGCTAACTACAGTAGCGTTCTTCTGCTTGGGCACCTCAACAGAGAAGGGATGTGAAAGAGGTCCCAAAAACTCATGGTCTGCAGGAGGTGTGAACAGGAAAGCACTACTCATCACATCCGCTATCACAAGAGGAAAGCAGCACAACCCAATCTATTGGGCTGGAGGTTTAACGCAAAGGAAAGGAAGCAATACTTTCACATGACACAAAATTGCATTATGGCAGTCGTTGTCATGGGATGCTGTGAAGGCCACAATTATAAAAGAATTCCAGAAGGGGTTAGCCAAATTCTTAGAGGCTCAACCCATCCGCAGCTGTCAAACACAATGACCCAGATGCCAGTCAAAAATTCCCTTAACTGTAGTCTGTTTTTTACTGAGCTGGTAATACCACAGAGGGATTGTGCTATGCTTGCCCTGTCCTTACACCCTGTCCCTAAGAGCCTGTTTCTGAAATGAGCTACCTGATTAGCTGGACCTTTGGTCTGAGCTGCTATCACTGCATAAGGCATTACAGATGATACAAGATGTATATTAAGAAGCTGGAGTTTATTGCAGGTGATGATCAAATTTCTTCACCTCACATGAATGTTTTGCCTTTGGCAGGTTGCTAATATCTGATGCCTGATATCTGAAAAAGCATTTCTACGCTAAAAATCTCTCTATCATGCCCCCGGCAGTCTGTACCTAAGACCAGCTCTTTCCTGATCTCCCACAGATGCTCTGCGAAATCCATAAACCATGACAGTGGATTACCTTTATCATTGACTTAACTGTCACCACTAAAAGTAGTTAGCAGTCATGAAATAAGCCAGCAACTGTATTTGAAGCAACGTCCTCCTGGGGCACATATTTCCTTTTATCAGTTCTTAAATTAATTCTCCTTCATTACGTGATGGGTGCCTTATTCTCACTTTGCAGGATGAGTAAAACGGAAACACTGATCACTTTCTTTCGCATGCACCATCATTTTGTACGCTCAACTGCTCTCCCTTCTGCCGCTTCTCCTTTCCAGCAGTCACAGGCCAAGATTACACAACGTTGCCTATCGCCATGAGGAAGCCCTTTCATCTCTGAGGTGTGACTTATGCTCTGGACACAGTGAAGGAGAAGGTCATGGGTCTGGGGATAAGTTATCCATCATCAGGTGGAGGGCAGGAGGAGAGGGATGGGTGAGAGTCCCTCGCTACCACGGCTGGACCACACTGGCACCAGAGTGCTCGGCTTGGTGTCTGCACTCGGCTTGCTCCGTACAAAAACAGCCTGTGTTTTTCATTTCTACCAGTCTAGCATCTCCTGCCAGCTCAAGGCATTTCCTTTCTTTAAGAAAACAAGGTTTGATCATTCACTTTTGGGGCTATCTAAACTTGCCAGCATCTGTTCCATCTGGGGAGGTGGGGGGGGTGGGGGTGGAAACACTGATCCAGGACTGGTAAAGAAAGGAAAAGGAACTAGGTACCAAGTTGTAATGTGGGAAACGAAGCCAAGAAAAACAGCATCTTAACAGATACTAAAGACAAAAACAAACGTGGTAAACAGGAGCAGAGACAGATTTGAGAGGAAAGGCAGGAAGACAGTGACTAAAGCACCAGGAGTGAGCCAGTGTGCACATGGAAACTGAATCCAGAGTCCCAGGGTTTCTTTGTTCTTGTTTTTCCTACCATTTCACAGAAATCATGATGCTGTCAAGATCCCTCTATACCCAAGGGTCAATGATGTCAATGAAAGTTGGTGGAGCTGCACTGATTTATATCCATTAAGGAGCAACTTTCTGATATTTCCCAGAATTGCTGGGGTTTAAAATAATGCCCTGAGAACCCAACTGAAAACAGCAGTTGGGATTATTCTTAAACCAGGTCATATAAAATCTAGATTAAAAATAATTAAAAATACCTCCATTATTTTTTTACCAGTTGCAAAATTCCTAACTTTGGATGGCCACAGTGAAAACAAAACCCTAGGAAAACATGTGCATGACACATTTGTACCAGTTTGAGAGCCATGGCAAATGCATACAGAGCTCTACAAATTTCAGCTCAGCAGAGCCTTTAGAAAAAGGCAAAGTAAACATTATCTCTGTTGCCCCCAGGCTTTCCTTTAACTTTTTGATTTACCTTCCCACCACTCTCCCCTGCCTTCAAAATGGGATAGACGGATTTGAAAATAACTTCAGAATAAGAATCTAATTTTTTTAACCATTGTTTGTTGGGAAACAAAAATGGGGTGGTTTTTTGTTTTGCTTTGCTTTTTCTTCTGAGTGCTTGCCAGGATAAACTAGAGGTTGCAAATATTTAGGGGCTCTCCTGCATGTGAAACCTCTCGTCACCCTCATTCTGAGCGCATGTGCTCTCAGCCGCTCATGTCCTGTGTTCTTTCTGCAGACGACAGTCCATGGCTATGCATGTCCCTCAAAGGTGCAAAGGAAACACAAATGCAGTGAAGCAGAACTGGGGATGAAGCCAAGGATTGGTTCTACAGTCTCAGTCCAGTACTCTCCCATGGCATGGCCCACAGGACCCTTCCCCTTGCAGTCTCCTGCCACCCAATCCCTTCCCCTCCTCTTGGCCATTCCCTCCCCAGCCCACACTCGCTCACTAACATCTTCTCCAGGTTCAGTGCCACCACCTCAGGTCACAGGCAGCCACAATGGGTGCTCTTGAACAGAGGTGCATCCCTGCCATGGTCGCAGCAGAACCCAAGCATGTTTAAAGCCAGGCAAGGCACTGTGCACACATCGCTGCCTTAATCTGGCTGGGGCCTCTTTCAGATGAAGGTGATGGGGATGGAGTGCTCAGCTGGTACAGACTAACTCACCCTTGACCATTTTCACTCCACAGACCTCTCTTACCGTCAGATTTTATAACCTGATTACTACTGACTTGGGTTAGATTCAGACAGATTGCCTACCAGAGAAAGGCTCAATATCCCATTATCAGATTTGTGAGCCTGCCATTCCTCTTCATTTAGTGCGTAATAGAAAGTGTCAGTAGTGTCCTATGGAATTCAGCTTTACAACAAGTCTTAACTATGCAGGTAATATACACATGTATCAGGTAAAAATACTCCATGGAATGATATGCAGGACAACAATTTTAAAACCTTTTTTATTTAAATATTAAATAAAACACATCAACTAATCATTTTGGTGTACACCTCTCATTTTAACATAAGAAATAAAATGATTGTTCAGTCATGATAAAAAATAAACTATACATCTCAATTAAACCAATCATGTAGTGTCTTTAAATACCCTATTGCATTGCAGTCTGCAGAACAGCACTGTCAAGGTATCTACAAAAAAAAACCCAAACTTTTAAAAATGACCTCTTTCTGCTCCAGCAATAATTCCAAAGAGGTTCTACAGCAATTGGAAAAGAAAAACGAAAAAAAATACTATGAAAGTAAAGTGCTTGTCATTGCTCAGGACAGGAAACAAAAGAATCTGTGGCCTTTTGATCCATGGCGTTAAGCAAAACAGATAGTGAAGAGGAAATTCTGCGTTTGAAGTATGTGTGCTACCCCTTACAAAACTGAAGGCAAAGTGGCTGCTTTGTGATGAGCTGGCTCCTTCTTGCCCTCCTCTCCAGCCATCTCCATGCAATCTGTTTTTTGGGTTGGGTTATATTTTTGTTTTTTAAACCACACTAAAAATGAGCATGAGACTTTGGTGTTTTCTCTGCTGCAAGGCACCACTCATTAACAGAAATCCAAATCAAGCAATTTTCTCGCACTTTGAAGCTTCCAGACCATGCAGCAGCAGCAGCAAGCTGGAGATGCACCAGCAAAGACACACAGGTACAACACACAGATAAAGAGGTTGTTTATGGAGAGCCACAGACAGAGCCACATGACATCTTCAAGCCTTCCTACTCCCACCAATTAACCTGGTCGATCTTTGGCTTTTTTCTTCTTAAAAAAAAAAACAAACAAAAAAAAACAAACAAAAATCATAACAAACCAAACAAAAAACAGGTATTGTATGACTTGCAAATGCGTAATACTACAGGTTGCATGAAGCCAAGGTAACTTGAAGGCACCCCGTGTCACACTTAGGAAGATGGGTCCTTTAAGCATTCAGACAGAATGTGCCTATCTCCTGACATTCAGCTGGCAGCTTCCAGCCAAGCTGGGTGGCTGTTCGCTCACCTGCTTCCCAAGTTCGCATGCCCTACCCACCTCATTTCTGTAGGAGCACAGGCTCTTCTCCCCATTATACCGAAGCACCCTGCCTTGGAAGGGGAGTGGGGTTTATACCAGAAACACAATGTAAGCATATTACAAAATATAAAAAATAACTAGTGTTATATAGTTTTCTGCTTCCTATTTATATACATATACAGCATTAAAAACCATAGGAAAAAAAAAACACACCTATCTAATCCAAAACCTTAGTTTGCTAATATGCCAAAAACAAACCAACCAAAACCAAATACCCAAAGATTGTGCTGTATTACTCACTTTTAATACAGTTTTGTTCAGAAATAGCTGTACTCCGTTAGAGTGGAATTCTGTTCTAGCCTATTCCTTTTGTTTTTGTCAGTGTATAATTATAACCTCAATATTGCACATTTCCCCAAGAGTCAGTTCTGTTTGGACCCTGATAATGAAATGCATAAAAACACAATTAGCAGCGGAAATAACCATGTGCAGCACTAAGAAATACCCCTCAGGCAACTTGGTAGGCAACCTTCAGGAGGGCTTATCAGAAAGAAAGCCCTTCCTATCACCCCACTGGTACTAAGGCTTCCTCCTCAGTGCTCTGCAAGAATATGAATAAACTTAGCATTTATAAAAAGATTCCTAGAGATCATTCAGACTGATAAAATATATGCGTGTTTGTGTATGCATATACACACGCATCCCCCAACCCCCAAACAAACATCCCTGCAAGAGACCAGACATTATGCAATTTGGATCCTGTTATCAAGGGATACATTTTCAGCAGATTACTTGCCTCTGTACTAACCAGAAGGGCTTTTTAAGCTTTTCCAGCTGATGCATCAAGCAAGAACTTCACAGTTTTCATTTTCAGTATGTGTATCTGGGAGGTGTGGAATGGGGATGTTGGTTCCTTTAAATAAAATGAGTGTTAACAGGAGGGGAAAAAACACCCAACAAATGGCAATGCTTCCATTTTTGTCTTCTATGAATTCATAATGCTGCATGCCACTGGTTTTCTGTTTATTTTCTTTAAAAGAGGTAATCATCTTCACAAACCCATAAATGAATATTGTGAAAAAGGGAGGCTCTGGTCCCTTCTTTGAAAAGCCTCTCCCTGCTGTGTCACCACCGACAGCTGCTAATCTTGCATAACAGCAGAGCTGTATTGGTCTGACTTGAGTACAGTACCGAAGAGTTCTTCCCAAACCACATCCCTCCCTGTCCCCACAAATGCCCCACCCAACCTCCCCACCATTATTCTTCCTTTAAAAAAAATCAGTTTCTATTCATATTTGTTCAGTGCAAGAGTAGAAGAAGCAAAAAGACATACATATTGCTTGTTTCAGTTCTATAAAGTTGCCAGCTTTCTGAGCCAGACAGCCTCTTCACATACTTCAAAATTTATTGCTTCTGAGAGTCACTCGTCCACACGACGTCAGCCAGCCATGGAGCCACACGCACCATGGAATGGTGGTGGAAGCTCTTCACAACAAGAGCAGCAGGAGCTGCAGCTGCCAGGTCTCTCATTTCACCAGGACGAACTTCCCTAGCTGGTTGGAAGTCAGGTCCTCCATCTCGCAATCCCCGTGCCGCAGAGTGACAGCGTCATAGCTTGGAGACTGTGCAGAGAAACTCTGCTGCTGAGAGAAGGTGGTGCCAACTGGAGAAACATTGCTGCTGATGTACAGGTGTGTGTCTAAAAGGTGAGCTGCTGAGGACACCGGTGACACGCTGACACCGAAGAAATGAGGTTGGAGCAGCTGGCTGTTGCCAAAGGCCAGCTCAAATGAGTTTTCTCTTTGCAACTCTGACAACAGAAGAGAATTGGATGCTTTGCAGGTACCTAAGCTATCAGAGGAGGGGATGCCATTTGTTGCAGCTGTCTGAGAAGTCTGGGGACAAGCTGTCTGGAGTAGCTGGTGATGCTGGAGCTGAAGCATTCTGAACAAAATCCAAGGGTGGAAAAGGTTAATTTGCACTGCTAGCATGGTTTAATGTTTTCCTTCCTACTTCCTCTCCCCTAACCCTGACCACAACTTTCCCCTTTGTTTCCTTCTCTCTATCAAACCTCTCCTTACAGCACAATTAAAGCAAGCTGACCATGCCAGGGCAACATGTTTTCACTTGGCTTTTCCCCACACTGGAGAGGTCAACTATCACCAGAAAGTTATCTAGTCACCACATGGCCTGCTAATAATAGATGTCCTAGAGACAACGTGTGCAGATAAACCGGAAACTCAATTTTCCATCTTGCTTCTATGGGAATGAAGAGGTGCTACCACACATGACGTTTGAGGCCACTGGAATTGTGTCTCCTTTGTGGGCTGTAACATTTCCCAAATTACAAGGCCTCACTTCCTTGCCATGGGAAAATTACAGGAGGAGGCAGAGAAGGAAAGAAATCATTCCCAAAACTAACAAAGAAAAACACAGCTTGCAATGGGGAGAAGTCATGTTTTCCCTCACAGTACCAAACTGCTTCTCAATTCAGCGACCTCCAAATACTTGGACATTGACATTTTTAAGTGGAGCTGCACGTCCTGTGTTATGTATGCCAGTGCAGGAAGCCACAAAGGAAGCCAAGCAGTTTATCTGCTGCCACACAGCAAAGATGGAGGATAGGAATCCCCAGTGACCAAACCCCCCAGTCTCTTTTGCTGTGTTTACTCCTCCTTGCTTGCCCCTAACCAAAGTAAACCCAATGAAAACAGCTAAACTCCCCTGGCCAGCTTCTCACCTCTGCTGCTGTAGCACCTCCTCCAGAAGGCTTCTTCCCTCTCTGCTGCTCCCACTGCTGCCGTACATGCAGGTGTTCGGCTGTGTGTGTTGGAAAGGGCTCATGGCACTCCTTGCTGCCCGAGATGAGGAGGACTGACACACCTGCCGAGCAAAGCCTTTGATTTTATTCAAGCCGAGAAACCCCTTGGCTCGAGCGTTCTTCCGCAGCTGCTGCCTAAAAGCCTTCAAGCCTGTGGGACATGAGGAAAAGAAATGCACTTTAATCCTCCTTAGCATTTGCCTAGGAGCCTACTTTACAGATAAGCCTTTCTGGGAAGCTGCCTTCGTTTGCGTGCAAAGCGCACTACAAGAGACTAACTCTTCAGATCACGTTCACCCCTCTGCCTGACAGTCAAAGCAAGAATTATGTAATGGAACTGGGTCTGGGACAGCTGCACCCTTGTGTAGATGGGCACATGCACAGCAAAGGAGAAACCTGACAGAAATCATGATGTTTGCACCCTGTGTTTTAGGAGGAAGGTAGAGCCTACCATCCCACTCATGGCAGCAGAAATACTTCAATGGGCATGCTGAATCGTTTGTCTAAGAACTTCTCATCTAGGCACCTTCCTCAGGGCATCCAATTCTCCCTTGGGGACCCTGAATACAAGAGGCAGAATATCCAGGTGACTGTCTTCAGTGTACCACTAACACAGGCAAGCAAGCATCCCTGCATGCTACCTACCCTCTTCTAGGGGCTGTTGGAAGGGTAAAATTCCCCAGCAATAAAACAAGGAAGACATTACCTTGAGTTAATGAGGTATCAGATGCTCGCCTTCCTTCTTGGAAGCTGATAGGCAGGAGAGAAGCACCTCCCATGCAGCCCTGGCCTTGTAACACCGGAGCATCAGACTGGGAAGCTAGGAAGGGTGACATCATCCTAGCTGTGGCGGGACTCCCCGTCATTGCTTGACCTGCCAAACAGCTGCTCAGGGCCACTGAGCTGTCATTTGAAGATGAAGTAAGGCAGCTGTCTGAACTAGTTCCCTCTGTGGGGCTTGCAGAAGAGGAAATGACTATACCTACAGAGGAGAAGGAAAGAGAGAAAGAGCATTCACAAGATGAGTATGGGAAGGAACAAACATAACTTCAGAGACTTCTGCCCACCTACACTGGCACTAATAAGCAACCGAGAGCTGGAAAGGTGTCCAGCAACTCATGTTGTCACAGTGCTCGACTCCAGCAAGGGGTCATCAACAAATAACCTCAGTTTGGGCTCCCATCCAGTTGGCAGGACTCTGCCAGTAACCACCAGGCTAGGCCTAGAATTTTCCCTTAGCACAGCAGCTCTGACAAAGGATTACTGTTTTGTAATGTTTTGCTTGTTTACTTAGTTCACGGGGTCTGGATGTACCAAATACAGACAGTGATGGCATTTTTTGTTAATTCAGCTGCCCCCACTTTTCTCTGGTACAACAGCAGAAGCAGGAAGAGAAGGGTTACGTCCTGCTTGTGAGAATGCTTCCCCCTCAAGTGATCTACTTGAAATACAACAGTGCAACTTCTCTTCCTTCACGGCCATGCTTATTTATAAGATGTCAGAACTGGGGAGGACAGAGCACAGACCTCTTTTCTGGGCCTTCCTATCCCAGTCAAGGTAAAATCAGCACAAACTCCCCAGGCATTTGCCCACTGAGGCACTCCTTCTCTGTCTTTCTCCTCTAAATACAGACACCCTCCACCTCTCCCAGACTTACTTACATGGAGGGGCATGCTGATAGAAATGAGTGGTCACTTCAGCCAGCGTATGCCTTCTGCTGGTGTTGCTGGGGATGTGGATGGGATGCTCATATGCCTTAATTTCATCTTCCAGCTCCTTCTCTTGCCTTACTTCTTCACTAATAGTGGTCTCCAGCAGGCTATTGGGCGAGATGGAGCGGTTCCGGAAGAGCCCATTGAAGTTGGGATCCACAGGGAAGAACACAGGCTGCAAAACATGTTACATCACAGTCTGAAGGGCGTTTCGCTTATTTCTGCACTACCTTTTAATACTCTTCACAGCCCTGTGGCGTGCCTTCCGTAGGCATACTGTTTGAAAGGCTACCACAACACCATGACCAAATGTCAAACAAAAGATTGGAGGGAGAGAACAGAGTCACAACCCCTGTTGTTTCGGATTGGCAGAACAATGGAAAAAAACCTAACACACAGTTTAGCTGAGAACACAAACCTGTAATGGATTGCTCATGTCACAGTCCATTTCTGTCTGCAAGGATGGCTGAATCAGGCTCTGGGGCTGCTGGTAAAGCAAAGATGATCGTAGGGTTTCACTAGTGAGACTCTCCTGTGCCATCTGGAGAAAGAGCGATGTACAAAAGCCATTACATACACCACAGTTCCAAATGGCTTTTCAGATACTGGAGGCTCAAGGAATTCCAGAGCCATGTTCTGTGCAAGATTTCTCCATATACTTTCTGTGAAAATGAACAAAGCTAGTCTTTCCATGCCAAAATAGACACAAAACTTCTCCTAGTTTAGGCAACTTAACTGGAATTCAAATTTAATTTGAAAAGGCACCCAGAGCACACTTTAAAGGGGGTGGGAATATCTGAAAAAAATACACAAACTGACTCATGAAGTACTTCTGAGGATCCTATGGGGCATGTAACAAAGAATTGTAACTGACCCATGCCGAAAGGGGAAAATTTCCATGAGAAGCCTAATCTTCTGGCTCACACTGACCTGCACTAGAGGCAGACTACTCCTTGGACCATGACCCACAGCCACTTTTTAGGAAACAGGCTTAGTATTCCACCAACCTCCTGCTAAAGAATAGTAGGATGTGTCGTATGAGAGGGTAGCAATATCAGAATTGGTTTTCAGAAGCCTGAGAGTTACCATTTTGTGTTTTCCCATAGTGAGGGGCCAGGAAAGAAAAAAAGAGCCAACACACAGAGCTTCCCAGTATGTAATGTCCTTCCTTACCTCAACATTGCTGATTTCAGAGCTCCTTGGCCTTTGCTGACGGCCAGTTGCTGGACGACTTGATAGCTGGCTGCTTCTATACTCCTTCAGGCGCTCCAAGAGCAGGTAATAAATTGCAGCAAAATGATTGTAGCTGCTGTTTTGCAGAGACTAGAATGACATTGAAAGGAGCCTTGAGTTACAGGTAACTCAGGATATAAGCAGCCAAAACTCATCACTAAGGTCTCATAATAGCTGACTCCAAAAGTAAGTAAAAAGCCAGAAGGGCAGTGAAGATTCTACTGCACTGTGACACTAAACCCAGGCCAGTCACTGAATGACGTACATATATACAACTGCACCACTGGCATTTTGATAGTCAATGAAGACATATCTAAAGGGCAAGCACTTCTCACCTCAACAGTCCTCTGTCTGTCAATGCCAAGCGTTTGCATGATCCCAAGCACCTGCTCGTTGTAGTCACCCAGGTTAGAGTTGTAGTTTTGCATGGAGAAGGACAAAGACTGCTGCTGTTGAAGAGATGGGTCAGCTTGCATCCATTTGTGCTGCTTTATTTGGGAAATGGTTATTCGCTTGGTTGGGTCCACAACCAACATCCTTCGGATTAGTGTTTCACAGTCTGGGTGACAAAGAGAAACTCCTGAGCAAGGAGTAAAAAAAACAGCCCAGCCCAAGGTCACTGCTAAGTAACCTTCCCAACAACAGTGTATGATGTCTATGAAAATGAGAATTAAAGGATTCTGAGCAGCTGATGCCTGACCTGACTACCAGATATTCAAAACAGCATTAGAGGCGTCCACATACATTTCACAAAAGCAACACGTCACTACCGAAGTGAAGCTGTACTAGATACCAGCAGGTTTCAGGTGACCTTGCACCTTGTAGGAGGGGTAGTTTTGAGTGGATGCAGGTTTTACAATGTTACATCCACTTAAAATGTGTCAGAATTTAGTGCAGAACACCATCACATACAACTTTCTGGACCCTATATACAGCTTATCGGTTTATAACCAGGAAGTCAAAGCCATTCGTGACTAAGACTGATAAAGATCAGACTTCAAGAGATACCCGTCACTTGAAGACAGAGGCACATTCACTTGTTTTCAAATCCAAATCAGAGAGAGGTGATAATACACTTCTTTTTTCTCACCAGACTATTGGAGTGCTCAAGAAACAGTACTAAGCCCCATTGTTTCTGCTCTCCTTGACAGCATAGCCACACTGAAATATGCCCTTTACTGCATAGTTAAAATATCTTAGGAGAACTACACCCATCTCAGCATTGCACACTAGTCACATTAAAATCCTGTTTTCGCTGATTTGTGATTATTTCTCCAGCTAGAGTGTCAAGTATTTTTATAATCATAGAGACACTCTAAGAAAGGAAACTACAGCATTTTAGATGCACCATAAAGCAGATCCCAGAAAAAGTGTGCAACCAGCCCCCTGACTATATGGGCTGCCCTACAGAAATTATCAGTCGTGTAAAGACAAAGTGATTGCCAGCTGCAAAACCAGTCCCACCTGTCACTGCCTCAGGAAGGAACAGGACAGCTATTTCTTTATTTGTAGCCCCTTTTCTAACATGAAGGATATGAAAAAAGCACCTTCAGACATGAAGTAAGGGATGCGGAACCGCCCCTCCAGCACTCTTTGCCTCAGAGTTGGTAAATTGGGTCCATCAAAAGGCAGAGAACCACAGACAAGGACATAGAGCACCACTCCAAGGCTCTGTCAACAGGAAACAGCACAGCATGTGAGTGACTCCAGCAGATGCAATGCTTTTGAAGCCCACAGACCTCACAAACTGTAAAGTGTTATTTCTAAGGAATATCAAGCTTACCCATATATCAAGGTGAGGTCCTTCATATTCTTTGCCTTCAAAAACTTCTGGAGCTGCATAAGGTGGGCTTCCACACCACGTGGAGAGGGGCTCTCCTGACTTGTAGAAGTTTCCAAAGCCAAAGTCTGAAATGAAGGTAAGACATCATTCAATCACATGCTAGTTATTTCAGAAGTACCAGAAAATGGAGAGATGGGAGTAGCTGTATTGTTTTCTTTTCTGCCTATTCTTTTAAGCTGTTCTCTTTTGTCCAGAGGCTACATTCAGAGAAATACTAGTAACTTTTGTTTTATTTTCAGTTACCATAAACACATTTATAGGATCATCTTAGGGAGACTGAATTTGACTACATGCCTAATATTTATAGAGGAACCACGTATTATTTATTACCTGCTAACTTGATATTCATGTTAGCGTCTAGCAGAAGGTTTTCTGTTTTGAGATCCCTGTGAACTATGTGGTGGCTGTGACAATATTCCACTGCTGAAAGAATCTGCCAGAACTTCTTCCGTGCTTCACTTTCACTTAAGTGCCCATTGGAGGTTAGATGATCTGCAAGACAAAACGTAAGAGGCACAGGATTTAGAAACACCTGGAGGAAACTTTCCACAATGCTGCAGGTGCTGCCCTTGCTGTTTGACAGCTGAAAACACCAACCCCGGATTTTTAACCAGAATACATGTATTACTCACAAATGACAACAATAAAGCCACGGTTTCTAAATCTAAAAAACCCTTAGCTCTGGCAGTGACGACTTACCAAACATTTCTCCATTCTTTGCAAACTCAGTAACAATGTAAAGCATATCCTTTGTCTCCATAACCTGTGAAGACGCAAGAAGACATGCTTAAAAAAACACAGACCTCTGTAGTTTCATTCTTTTTTCCAAGTGTATTCTCAAACCTGACTTCAATTATTTATCATCTGCCACAGCAGCTGGCAATAAAAGCATCTAATTTTGCACCACAGTGTTCTTTCCAAGCAAACTGGTAATGAAAAAGATAACAAATCAATGTTTATGTGCCTACAATACACAATGGCTTCCCATGCCATTGTTCTTCTCACCATTATCCTGCCACCTAATTTCCGTAAGGTAACTGATGAGCATTTCAATAATTTCATACACTTCCTTGAATGCCTTTTCTTTTTGTTAAAATATGCATATACAGTTTTACAATTCCTTTGATATATTTTAAACATGCAAAACCACTTAAAATTTATATAAAGTCATCCTTGTTTCAAGGCTTGCAGCTACTCAGATCAGGGGAGATTGCTGCAACTTGGACAGATCAAGAAGTAGTATCAAATACCCTGCTACCATTTGGTGTTGGCAGAGACATGGCAAGCCTCCCATGCAAGTGACAATAGGTTGCTGTTTGTGTACCAGCAGTCGCTGATGCACATCGACAACTGTCAATATCTAGCTCAGCCTATACCTATCAATCTAGCAGCGATTTCCTTTGATATTTTTTTCCTTTGGAGGAAAAAAAAAAGAACTAAAAACCAAACCATGAATGAGAAATGCTGAGCGTTTCCAAATTCATCTTCAGTTACTATGGCACATCTTTCAAATGCTGCATTTCAGATTTTAAAATAACAACATTTCTCTAGAACTGGGCTCTCAAGGAGCAGGTATTTTGCTTTGGAAGAAGAAGGCTCACAACAGGTTAACAATCAAAAAAGCATCAATACTACTTCAAAGGCTGTAATTTCCAGGCTCCTAGCATGTAACCTTTTTCTAAGACTCTTGTCCTCCCCTCACTACAAGTACACACAGATACAAAATGAAAATAAACAAAGCAAAGGAAAAGAGGTTCCCAGTTTAAAAAAATGAAGGAAAGTGTTCTGGGAAAGTTGCCAGCTGGATGAAATTAAGACGCGGTGCTGAAACTAAAACAATGATGAAATAATACAAGAACACACACCCTGCGTTGGTATGTCATCTAATTCCAACCCTGCTTCTCAGTCTCCACCAAACAGGTAAAGCATCAGTTACAACAACAAAGAAAAGAAAACTTCACTGAAAAGAAGTTGTGGTCCACTACCAACGTCATTTGCTCCATCAAGTGACGTGGTTCAACTAGTTGGAATTTAACCTGCTTTTCTAAAAGCTTCGAAATAGTATTTTCACCACATCGTTCCACTGAAATGAAATCAACCAAACTGTTAGAATGCTTCTGTATATCCTGTGCTGCCCTATGAGCAACAATGACGTCAGGTGCCAACACAGAATAATTTTTGTTATGATGGTTAATACTATAAATATCAAGCACTTCATGTGTGTCAAAGTCTTTAAAAATAATGCCTTGCCTAAGCACCTGCCTTATTGGATCTTCAGCCTTACACCGTAATTACATTTTTTTTCAATTTCTTTCCTTTTTTTTTGAAGCTAACAAACCCAATGGTAAGATTGCAGCTGATAATAGTGTTTGCTACCACACATGGACTTTCAGACCTGCTGCTTCACCCATCTATTCCTCTCTGCCCCCTGCCCTTCTAGACAGGTCCAGACTGACTGCAATACTTCTTCCCTGCTCATTGCAGGGAGGGTGGACTAGATGACCTTTAAAGGTCCCTTCCAACCCAAACCATATTATGATTCTATGATCTTCTTAAATCCACATGGCACTGTTTATTTAAGGGGATTAAGAGGAATTTACAACAAATGCTAATTAGATTGAATATTCTGAATTTGCAAAGTAGTCCTCGCTCACAGGACAATGTGGGCACCACACGTGAATTTCTTCTTACTGTTAAATATGCCCATCAGAACAAAAACTGAACAAATCTAATTCAGAATTCCTGCTGTGACACTCTACAAGGGGAAAGGTACTTAAAATTAATTTTCAAAGCTACACAGACTGGAACAGAATAACCGAACAGGTCATTTTTTGATGTCTTCTAAGATACCAACATTCACTGACTTTTCTACTTAGATTAGAATTCTAATTCTTAGTGTAGATTTCTACTTAGATTGATTCAGTTTCATTGTTGCCGATTTTAAACCCCTTCCACTTATGCAAACTCAACTTTTGTGCTTTCTTTTCTGCTGTCCTACAGGAATTTAAGTCTTCCTCTTATCAAAAGCACGTAAGAAGTTCGAGCCCTCTAAACTGGAAAAGCAGGAGTTTCAAAAAGCAAATTATAATCACAGGAGTTCAGACAATCAGCTCCTCAATCTGAAACACACTTCAGCCTAGTTTTAATTATAAATTTTACACAGGATTTTGTCAAAAGCTGCCTAACGCATCAGAATCTTGTTCAAAGAACGATGAATGACTTAAAAATCAATTCATTTTTTTTAAAAAGTATTTCGATAGGCATCCTCTCTGCAAACATTCAATCTCAAATCACATGCAATAGAAGAGCAGAGGCATATCTCATCTGCATGTTTAACTTCAAAGCTGCCCTCTTACCTGATAAAGCTTGATAATGTGGGGATGATTCAAAAGCTTCATTATCTGAACTTCTCTATAAATCTTCTCCAGATTGCTTGGGTCTAACCTTGTTTTGTCTATTATTTTTATTGCAACCTGCAGATTAAAAAAATAATAAAATAAAACAACCCCAGGTATTACAAAATAGCTACTCTTAAAGTTAAGATCTCTTAAAATAAAAATAAAACCCCAAACCAAAACCCTGCACGCACACACAACTCACAAAATCCAAGCAAAGTAGCTTTTAAAGTACGGACTTGACAAAGCTGATTTTGTTTTTCAGAACTGCCCAGAATTCACGACACAGAGTGTTTTCATTTTTCTTTTCTACATCAAAAGATTATACATAAGGTAGTGAACAGAACTGCTGAAATTAGCACTGGACAGGATTCCGTAAATCTTTTAATCCACCCCATGCCAGTGAAAAGCAGATTCCCACAACAGACTATTTTCTACCGGAGTGACTGATAGGATTTTGACATACACCAGAAATATATACATGGTTGCATGCGCGCTAATAAATTATTTCTGCAAGTTCTTTGTTCTTGAAGCACACACATCGAATGAAAAAAATCAACCCGTCTAAAGTCTTCAGAAGGTCTTACATTTGCCGGGACTTTTTAGCAAACAAGGACGGAGTAATTCAACAAAACTATCAAAACACTCACAAATTCAAGGCCAGGTTGGACGGGGCTTTCAGCAACCTGGCGTAGTGGAAGGCGTCCCTGCCCATGGCAGCACGGCTGTAGCTGGATGATCTTTAAGGTCCCTTCCAACCTAACCCATTCTGTGATTCTATGGAATTCTGGATTTCATATATCCTTGCTCAGATTTAATTTGAGGTGGGCTCTACTGGACACACCGGGAAGCTCTTTCGAAGAGCCCCATCCCACGGGCGCGCAGTCCTGAGGCACGCTCAGCCCGCCGGACTTCGCAGAGCTCAACGCCGCTCCCCTCACCCCCAGAGCTCCAGCTTTCCTTTGGCGGTGCTGTCGGAGGCAGCTCCGCCGGGCGCGCCGCAAACCCCCGCAGCCACACGCACACACAGAGACATCCCGCCGTGTGCTCCGCACCCACCTGCGTTTTGGTGACTCGGTGCCTAGCCAGTTTTACCACAGCGAAGTTGCCTTTCCCCAAGGTCCTCTCGATGTCGTAGAAGCCGACTCGCAGAGGCCGCTGCTGGCCCTGCCCGGCGGCGGGCACCGAGGTGTACTCCGACATGATCACCATGGCTCGGGGTGGCGGGCAGCGCGCGCGCCGCGCTTAGCGGGGCACCATCCGCGCTGCACGCGGGCGCTCGCACCTGCACGGGGACACGGGCACAGCGCGCACCGCCGTCAGATCCGACTGGCTCCGGGAGGAGAAACACCCCCCGCCTCCCCTCACCGTCCCCTCCCCTCCCAACCCGGCGGGCTCCTCCCCGCGTACCCCCGCGGCTGCCCCGTCCGAGCTTCGCGGGAGCGCTGGTCCCGCGCGCTCCCTCACACCGTCGGAGCGGCCGTTGATCCGCCGTACCTGCCGGGCGGGCGCTGCCCGCGGCTGCTGTCTCCAGTCTGTGCCGGTGCCGCCGCTACCGCGGAGGAGCGTGTGCGTGACTGAGTGAGTGAGTGACTATGTGTGTGTGTGTGCGACTCTGCGTGTGTGTGTGTGCGTCTGCGTGTGTGTGTGTGTGTCTGCGTGCGTGCGCCGGGGGGCAGGCGGGGGCAGGCGGGAGCACGCGGGATGTCCCGGCCGCCCCCCTGCACGCACACCCCGCCCCTCCCTCCCTCCCGCCCGCCTCCTTACCCCCCGCCCCCCGCCCGAACGCCGAGACGGAGCCCATTGACGTCACTTTGACGCCAGAGAGACGCGCGCCCGGGCGCGAGGCTGAAGGGGAGCGAGGCACCGGGCCGTTGCCAGGGAACGGCGCGGACTGACGCGCGCGCTGATGGAGCCGTCGCTCGGGAGACGGAGGGGCCGTGACGTCAGCGCGGATAGGGGGGGGCGAGAGCGCCCCTGCGCGGTCACGTGACGCGCCCCGTCTCCCGGCGGGGTCGCCCCCTGCTGGCGCGCCGCAGCCGCCGTCAGCCGTTAACCGGGTGGTGGCCGCTCGGGGCTCGCGGGCCGCTGTGGTGCACGGCGTGAGGGCCCGCCGGGCGCCGCGCTGACCCTACATGAGGGGGCACACCGCCCATGGTGACCCCCCCCTCTCCCCAGCCTTGCCGGCGGGTGTGCCGGGTCCCTGCCAGCCCCGTCCCGGCTACCGAGGCAGCCCTCGCCCTGCGGCGGAGTCCGCCGGGTGCGGGGCCACCGACAGCGGCTGTCGCGCTGGCAGTACGGAAAGCGTGGCTGCAGCCCTGCGGGGAACGTGCTTTCCTAATCCCAAAACGCAGGCAGTGCCGTGCCCCCACCTCCCCCCTCGGCCCCTTTGCACCAATGTCTGCGGCGGGTACTGACCCCCGTTCCCCTGCGCAGGACCAGCTGCCAGAGTTGTTCCAGGCGTGATGGACGGGGACTTCTCTAGAACGTCCCCTCTGGCACGCAAGATGGGGCTGACCTGGCCTGCAGACAGTAAACTCTAGGTCCATCAGTTGGTCACAGGCTGGAACGGAAGTAATATATAGTATGTATATATATCCAGTCCCATGATACTTGTGCAACTTACTCACATGTTCTGAATACACCGGCAGTGCTATTATCTCTGGTTAGCCTGGCAGTGAGGTTTGAGAAGTCACCTTCTTGTCAAGGTGACTCCTGACAGAGGAGGCTGTTTGGAATTGAACCTCAGCACCTTGAAAGTGCCCATGAGGTTCCTCTCAAGGTCAAATGTGGAGTGGCAGATGCACTGAATTCTAACACACAGGTCTTTAGCTTTCACACAGCAAATGACCAGAATGTGTATACGTTTGGTCTCAAATCCCAGTTTATCCTCGAAAATAAGCCTTGAATGATGCCTGCCACATCTGTTACTCAACTTAATGAGAGTCAGCCTAGGCTTTTTTCGGACAAGTAATTCTCCAGCCAGTGGTTGGGCTTCTGGCTGGAAGACCGTCTATCTGAGTCTGAACCCCTCACCTGGCCATCATAGCCAATGGCACACCAAGGCAGTGACCCTCCTCTTCCGTCTACAGGCACCATGTGGATGGGGTTTTCCAGACTGCTTGGAATAAGGTAATGCCTTGGGTGGAAGAGGCAGAGCTCTGATTCACACTGAAGACTTCAAAGCAATTGGTATGCTTGTTTTCACCTGCAGTTGGTGGTCTCCTTGGTGGTCATTCAGTGGTGCCTGAATGGCTTCTGAAGGGCTCAGGAGGGACACACAGTGGGAGGAGGGGGAGATTTTTGTCAGTTTTTAAGGATTTATTCTAAGGAAGGGATGAGGAAAGCTCTCTATAAATCGAATTATATGGTACATGAGCTGTGTGTCATCAGCACGCCTCAGATCTGTCGGGACATTCCAGTGAAGCAAGCAGGACTTCCTGTGCGTCTCTTACCTAACAAACTATATCGCTTGTGTTACCCGCCACAGCATGGGTGCCAGCCCTTCAGGAGGCCACTTACTCTGCAGGTTCTTTGTCATAGAAACATGGGGAAATAACTCCTAAAACTAACCCCCAAACTTCGTTTATCTTGACCATCACACAAAAAACCTGCTTATGTACTGCTGGAAGCGGGGTAACAGCACGCAGGTAGCCCAGGCTATTGTGATGTTCAATTAGTGCTCGCTTACACAGTGCCTTGAATAATTCACATGAAAAGTTGACATTATTATTATTATTGTTATTATTAAGCTAACAGTATATTCTCTGTGGAGCCCATGAAGAGGAGCTGACGCACAAACAGCACATACAGTAGCAACTGCATGTGAACAGTGCCCCAGGAGTTATAAAGGAAAAAATTACCTTAATAATGGTTCCTCTGCTGTGGTGGGATTTTCCTCTCTTTAATTATAGTTGCTGTTTTCATTTGAAATTGATTAAGTGTTTTAGAATGTCAAACAGAACTGGTCCTTTTCAAAAGAACACTCAAGAGAGCCAGCCCCAGCTAGGAGCATAGCATTTTTCTTTCTTTTAAAGGGACTTGGAGTCTCTTTCTTCCCAAATGGGAGGAAAAGGACTGGATTTGGTGCTCTCCCTATCACCTCATGACTTTTTAATCATAAGGAGAGGTGGATGCCTGTGCCATGGCACAGTCTGAAGAGTGTAATACCTCACCAGAGGGCTACACTAAGGGGAATCCATCATGCTGATTTCAATTACGTGCATTAGATGGAAGAGGCAAGAAGAACTGGCAAGTGTAGCTATGTGTGGAAGTTACTTGCATACTTACCTGAAATCTCTAGTCCAGAGGGTGGGGTATGTACCACTTCCGCAGTGGAGGAGGGAGCTCATGCACTGCATAGTTTTCAAGAGATTTTAAGAGTTATAACGCTATTATATGATATATGAGAGTTAAATTAAAGACTTCATGTGTCTATTACTCTCAGCAACATTTTGGTATTTCTCTTCCACTTTTGTACATGTGGGTCATAACAGTTTCCAGCAGTGCTGCTCAGAAGTAGCTATTGCACAGTTTTGGTAGTGTCATAATTACATCGTTTTTCTACCAGTTTCATTATGAATTGATACTGTCAGGGCATTACAAACCTCTTACACAATCACGGTTTATCATCAAAAGAGGTCCTTCTGTTGGGAAGGTTGATGCTTTTGCAATTTCTGCTTTAACACTTCTACTGCCCTCTGGTGTCTTGGATATCCTGAACGAGGAATCTCCTCAGAGAAACACCCATGGTTAGGAGAGAAACAATTACAGAGCAGGCTTGTACCTGACGAGAGTAGAAAAGAGAGGAAAGCAGAGAAATACTTTCCAGAGCACCTCCACAAGGAAGTTCCTTGATTTCTCTAGGAAGAGGGAGAAACTGGGAGGACACAACAGCTAAGTTTTCCCATTGCAGCAGTCCTGTGCTCCCTCCCTGAGGGTGGCATGGTCAACGGATGGGAATATGCATGAAGACTGCTGCCTTACAGAATTCCTCTTGCAGATATTTCCAGCAATTCAATCTTTAGTCATTTCACTCAGCATTTTTGATCAGTTTCAAAACAAACTAACAACAATAGCAACTTTCTTCACTTGGCAAAAAGAACACAAACCAGAGAAACAGCAGCATTCCTTTCTACCCATTTCACCCTCCACAGCTGTAGTCAGCCTGGTTTGCTATGATAGGTTTCCTGTGGTATTACTTGCAGCATAGCTGTAGTTTGGGTTTATTTTTCCCCAGGAAACACCAGTGTAATTATTTTGAAAATTAGATTTGTTGGAGTATTTTCAGTGTCCCGTCATTCACACAGTTTAGTTGACTAAAACCTTGCTGAAGCGAATAGAGATGTTCCTGGTCCAAGTCAGACCCTGGCCTAGAAAAAAGTAAAAAGGAAGATGCCATGTTCCGAAAAGTAGAGTGACATTTAAAGAAGATGAGATAACCAACTAAAATACTTGTACGCTTATTTTAAAGACAAAAACATTATCTTGGAAAAAAAATCGTGCATGACTATTTCTAATATGACTTCAAAGTGTCTTTGAATTTGAAAAAATCCAGGCTGCCACTGCAATCTTGGCAAGAATACTTAAAGGTTAGCATACCCTTACTGAGGCACCACAATGGTATCCAGAAATACATTTCAGACCACTGGAATGTCTTTGGTCATAACATTGCATCAGAGTTACATAATTATGATCGCAACAATGATCTTTTGTTGTTAACATTTATGACATTTCATAATTGATGTGGCGATGACATTTCACTGACATAATACATTGAGCTTGTCTTGCAGAGTAAGGTACAAAGACCTCTTCAGCATTCATTTAGGGCTATAAAGTAGCTTTAGGAAGGGTCACCACCAGGCATGTTAGGGTTCTTTACTTTCCTAAATACAATGTGCTGCAAAAGCTGCCATTGATACCAAGCCTCTGACTGGTTTTGTTTGTATTAAGGGAAGTACAAACACAGAACAAACAAGGTGGTCTATGCCCTTGAGAGTGTCTTTCTTTTATTGTAATCATTTCCCTTCCGTGTTTGTCACTCTGATAGGGCTCCACTGTGCTGGGGCATGTGAACCTGACTGACAACTGGCAACAAACACATGAAAAGATTATGTAAAAAGATAAGTGGGCCAGGTTATTTCTATTGCCCAGGATAGATAAAAGGCAGAAGCTAAACAACTAACACTGAATAATGGCTTTTGAGGTAGGGGTTTTTTTTCAGTTGCTTAAGTTTAATGGCCAAAGGTGGTGATAGTAGTAAAAGCAAACACACACCTATAATCTAGCCGTGCCCACTTAAATTTAGCTAAAAGTAATTTTATAGTATGTGGGCTGATTGTCAGAGAGTAAGCATTCACAGTTTCTGCTGAGTTTACTTGGAGGCTGCAATTGCTCAACATCTCTTAACACATCCATCTGCAAGGTGTCCTGCAAGGTAAAGCACGTATTCTGCTGAAAGGTTTTGACTAAAGAGGACTCCAAGAGTCTCTGGGTTTCAGTATATCTGTGTTAAGCTACTGTTGCTACTGGCATCAGGATTAACCAGGTAGGCACATGCCTGGGGCAGAGCCACGTGGAGTTCAGTTGCTTATAGACCAACACTTTGAAATGGTACTTTCCCACTGAGTGTGTGTGATCTTCTCAAGCAAAATGGATAGCACGTAAGGAAAAGATGTAATTTCCCCCACTTTCTATAGCTACTTTACTACTGGAAGGGCAAAAGACTGCAAGATAAAGTGTTTTGCCCATGGTGGTGATGTGGCAAGTCTGTGGCAGAGCAGTGAAACACATCTCTGTGTCCTGAACCCAGGCAAAGTGCTTTAACTGCAAGAGCAACCTTCATACTGCAATTAAGTGATTAATTTTAATCTTGTAGCTGGTATAAATAGAGCTACATACATACTGGGTTTAGTACAATTTAGGCAGCTCATATATGTGATTTTTTCACATCAGGCTGGACTATCTGTAAGATTAACACTTGTACTTTAATGTTAGCCCCCTGCTTCCAGCTGGAGTGTGGACAGAGATGCAGGTCAAACAGCAGGAGCTAGCTTTCTGGTGCTCCAAGGCTTTGCAACTCATTGCCAGCAGTTGCTGCTGAAACTGTGTATGACTCCTCACTGCTCCCTGAAACATCCTACACACAGTAGCAGCTCATGTGCGATTTTGTTGTTTGGGGTTTTTAGGCCACACCTGACAGGGAAGTATTAAGTGCAAGCTCAGTCAAGCTGCCAGCTCCAAAGCAAAAAATAAATGCTAAGTAGACTTCAGATATGAGAGCAGAGGTGGAAGAAGGATGTGTCCACAGTCCATGTGACAGGGGGCTTTGTTCCTATGAAATGATCCTTCCCCTTGTCTGGCTCAGCATCCTCCCTGCTCACTGCTGTATGCATAGCTGTAATTTGAGGCTCTGGGTCCTCCCAGGGTCCCAGACAGAGCTGGAAGCTGAGAAGGCTGCAAAGGGTCCAAGACAGAAGAGGCTACAGACAGGATAAGATGGAAACAACAAGCAGCAGGCAGCAGCAGGGAAGCAGCACTGGAAACCCCTTGCAGTGGTGAAAGAAGGAAACCCTCTGACACTGCTTCTGGAAGACTGGCTGTGTGGAAGAGGTGTGCTGGGGCAGGGAGGAGCTGTGGAGGCTGGGTCCTGCATGGGTGCTGAGCTGTCAAACAAGAGCTGGGACACTCAGTCGACCCACTGTCCATGTCCAGCGGCTTCACAGCCCCAGGGTACCCCCAGGCTGAGGCAGGGCTCTTGGTGGGAGCTCCACGTTCAAGCTCTAAATAAGCTAAAACTCAAGGCTAAACTCTCCTGCACTCCTTTTCCCTTGACTTGCATGGGACCTTTTCTCTTTGCGATCCCATCTTCCAGCCTGATGGGAGTAGTGGGAAATCAGCCCCCATTCCACAGGTTCAGGAACCTTCCCGTGGTCAGGCCAAAAGACAGAAGGCTGTTGCCCTTGGCTTTATGTCTGCTGGGGTTGCCATGAGGTGTTCCCACCTGGGCAAGATCTGTCGGTTATTCTCCAGCCAGTGCAGAGGCCCTCACTGGCGACTGGATGTCTGCCTCCATGCCTGGCCAGGGGGACAAGCTGTGAGGGTGGGAAGGTAATTCAGCCTTATTCCTTTTGGCCTGACCTTCACCAGCGTCCTATTGCTTTTTACAGATGTGCCAAAGGAAGCAGAGGTGCCCCAGCAGTGCAGCTGTGGGCGACATGGACACGTGCCCAACAGGAAGTAGCCTGAGACAATGGAATTCATTGCACACGTATGTTCTTTGTTGATGGCTGTGCTAGAAACAGTGACCCACATGTGGCAGTTCTGATGTCCCCTCACTCCAGCCTCTGCTCCCCTCCCCTCAATTGTGAGTGACTCATGCAGAAAGCTACACATTCTTCCCCAGGGACAAAATGAATAACGGCCTCACTCACCTTTCTTCTGTATCAGTGCATTAGTGCCTGAGATCCACTGTGCTCTCACTGCAGCTTAAAATGGAAAGGCTATTGCTTTCCCAGTGTCCCAAGTAATTGCTTCATCTGCTTATGCCTGCCTGTACCTCTGCTAGGCAAGGCAATATGCACAGGCTCCTTTGAAGAGGGTATTAATGGTGTTTATCTACTGCATACTGAAAAATCAGGAGCTTCTCCCCTCCCCCTTTTGCTCACTCTGAAAGAAAACAGAAACAAAATAAAAGTCGCGTTTGCAGCACAGTGCCACTGTTACTGTTATTCTATGGGGAAAACCTCATATATCCACCTATTGTCTGAGCCACTACTAAGAGACCTTCGTGAATTGGCAAGTTACGAAAACAGGTATCCTTCCTTAGAGATTAATGTGATTATTTGCGTCTGATATTTCCTGCTCTACAGCACAGATTGTTTGTGCCGATGGACAACTGAGAAATATGGCTTTCCACATGGGGGGAAGGACTGTTGCAACACACCTTTATTGTCCTCCTCTGGAACATCATATTAAATTTGTTTTCCATCCATTCCTGTAAATACATTTCCTACAATTGCTATTATGTCAGATGCACTGTAACCCGTCCCCTCCTACGTCAGCTGCATTGTTGTAACCCCCCCTCCGATGTCAGGAAAACTGTAATCCTCCTCTTGCGTTACAGAGGAGCTGCATCTCTGACATTCAATTGCATTCACCCAGAGTCAGACAGAGCAGGGGCAGAGAACAAAACACTAGTTTCTGAAACATGAATTTAATGAGTTCTATGGCTTTTTGGGCATGCACGTGGGTGCTTGAAAGTAAGGTCAAATGCACTTTACACACTCAGGAGATGGCTTTCTCCAGTCACAGACCAGACAAAGGTTACTATCGGTGCCAAACAGAAGAAGCTCAACAGAATTTCTGCATGGCATTGAACAATGCATCATGCATTCTTACACACTGGTTCTGCATGTAAGCTGTGGTAAAGGGGAAAACAAGAAATAATATTTCAGAGCTCCAAGGGTTAGCAAAATTCTTGCTTCATAAGCCCCAACTGATGAAATTACTCCAATGAAGAAGGAATCGTGGAGGTGGGTTGGCTCACAGTTTGTGAGTGGGACACCAAGGCAATCTATTTTCAAATGTGTACATGCATGTTATGCTTCAGTCCCAGCGGCTGAGCAAGAGCCTATGAGCAATAATACATGCAAGGCAAATTTCTTACCTTCAATTCTTGGCACAAACCAAACCTGAGTTTCCAGAGAAGCAAGTACAGGGCATATGTTATCTAAATATATGTGATCACGGATGACAAGAAACATGGAAGAATTTTTTTGGATGGAGTTGTTAGTTACCATCCTGGAAAAATCTTTCACAAGATAGATAGATACTGACAAGACAACTCAAACCCAGATGGTTTTTCTATGATATTTCAGAAGAGCTTTGAGTTTGGGGTGAAGTAAGCAGTTTGTGCTACTGGAGAAGATTGATTGTGATGCCTCAAACAGGAAACCAGATGTTTGTAATTCAGCTAGAACTACTCCTCTTGTTATGCAGCTGATATAACCAGAGAGCCCAAAGCTTTGTGCTCGCATTCAGCAGGATGTGTTATCTTCAAAGTCTTGATGTTGCATGTTCTAGATCAGTTTCTGGGTTGGCTCAAACTGTTTATTTTCTGTCAATAGAGATCACCTCTCAGAAGTTCAGTGATCTAGCTTTTCTTTCTCTGCACAGTTTATGCTTTTCTGTTTGGCAAATGGTTCCCTGGTCTTGTAGTACATACTGGGAGAAAAACTTTACAATTAGATCTGCAACTACTAATCTTGCTGGTTAAGATAGACAGTGTCTTTGTTTAAAGGCATGCCCTTGTAGAAGGTTTGATCATTATGTGAATATAGCAAGATCATATTCTATAGGTATTTTAAAGAACAACACTACTAGATGCATAAAACATAGAGGTCAGACTGGGAAGAGATCTAGACAGCAATTCTTACTGCAAGCAAGGGTGAGAAAGTTGGGAGCTGAACTCAACTGAAGCTTCTGGTCACCTAGATGCCTGAATAGGAGCTGAGCTTTGTGGTATGGATTCTTCCAGTCAGCGTGATCCTACTTTGGTAAGTCACTTATGTCAGCATGGGTTTTAGAGCTGAAAGCCTCTAAATTCTGTCATTCATAATAGAAAGAGGAAGAGCATGAAGAAGGAGAACAAAATGGGTATTGATTTGCACTGGGTTCCAGTACAAAACCCCTTCTGGCTGGTCAGTGTGTGGAAGTGCCTATGCACTGCTCTGTAGCTGCAAATGGTGCATCCTGCCAAGGGTAATGGTCTGGGACTGTGGTAATTGCATGTAGTCTGGAAGGCCTCTGGAGGTATTTTCTTGCTTCACTGTGTGTCAATAAAAAACAATGTGATGGGCAAACCTTTCCACAGACTCATTCATTATTGACAATAAGAGATACTAGATAAGAAAGTCAATATATTTTCATCTTCGTTGCCTTGACAGCATGGAATTATTCTGGTGGTTTGTCCTATCAAATGCAATCTGACCTGGGATTTGAGGCTTTAACCTATTAGTGATATTGATAATACTTTCCTTGGTCAAAAAGTAAATTTCTCACCTTTGAAATCAAAGTGCTGAGCCTTAAAGGAATATGTGCCTTCTCTGGTAGTCTTAGAAGGTGCTTCTGATGCTTTTGGGAAGCGAAATAAGCTGTCTTACAGAACGCACATTGAAATGGATAAACACAAGCTTGCAGTGTAGTATGGACAATGAACGGGAGAGAGCAACACTCATCATCACAAGTAGGATGGGGCTGTGGTGAGAACATCTATTACCACATCGTTGCAAGACAGAAAGGTATTATGAAGAAGCCTACAACAGACTCCTCTGTTTTCAGAATCTCTCTTTTTCTCTCTCTCTCTTTTTCATAAACAGGAGACTTGTTAAATAACACAGCAGCCACATGAGCATTTAGAGAGAGTGTACTAATGCAGCAGCCTTTATGAAAAGGAAATATTGGTTTGGGAATCAAGGGTTAGAAAAAAATGCCAAGACCAAACCCACAGAATGCTCAAGGAGTATTAAAAGCATGAACGGCAGTACAGTTCACCAGGACATCCAATGCCAGTCACTGGAACAATTCACTGAGGAATTTCCAGTGATAATGAACTCCCAAGACTCTATGTCCAGTCTCAAAAACAGACAGAAAGACAGTTTCTGTTGAACACATTGCTAATGGCAAACTGTTTGCCCAGCATTGGATAGCAGAGTGGGGATATGTGGCTCATCACCCATGAAGAACCTGGGACTTGGGGTCTGACTGCTCACTACATCATGAGGAAAATGTGGGAATGCCTGAAGGTGAATTGAAGGAGGTTATCACTGGAGCTTGGATGGTGGAAACATAGTGATAGGAAACAGCAATACTGAACTGGCACTGCAGACTGGGGGGTGTCACAGGCTCCTGAGCAGAGTGATACCTGCAAAAATTTGATGCCAGCCATCAGAGAGACAATTAGCAAGGAGAGGGACTATTTCTGGTGATGGAAGTGTGCCTTTTCCTGACAAATGAGTCAGGGACCCACAAGAATTCTGTAAGACAGACTGCTCCACCTGGAAGCTGCATCTGGAATCACCAGCAGCTCTCTTTACCCAGGGCTTCACTCTGAGGCCTGCCATTGTGTGTATAATGTGTGTGTGCATCTGGAGGAGGAATCTCCTCTAAATCACCTTGAGCTGCATGCATGGAGGCAACGCGCCCAACGCTTGGCATTACCTACCCCTAGCAAACTGCTGTGACCCAGGACAGAGGGTGAACCATGAGGAGACAGGTGCAGATGCCCTTTGTATGGTGGATGTCCACATTTTGATGGTTCACATTTCCATTTGGAATGAGCTCTCAGAGGATATGTTCTTGCCAACTGCATGGTCACATCATCACGTCCTGACACAGAGGGACCAGCAGTTTTGTGCTGCCCTGGCAAATGTCACTGGAAAGGACAGGGAAACTTTGCGGAAATACCACTTGCGTAGGCTGCTGGCCTTTACGGTCTCGTTGGTGAATCGTTTTACATAAAAGCCATTAGTGGACACAGTAGAAGCTCAGTGAGTCATAAAACAGTTGTCCTTATAAACCCAAGGCAAAAAAGGCCTGGAGTAATGACAGCAACTTTTTGTCACTAGAGTAGTATGAAAAAGCTGGGGACTCCTGCTGAATACACAGCAAAGAATATGCCAGAGCAGGGAGCAGCCAAGCACTCCTGGGGAAAAAAGGACAGTGGAAACATAGTGATAGGAAACAGCAATACTGAACAGGCACTTCAAACCCACTGCTTCTCAGACCATGGGTACCAACCATCCCCCTGCCAGATGGGAAAGTCTGAGGAGGGACAGAATCAGGCACGCAAGCCTTGACCCTTCCCTTGCTGCATGCTGCTTCTGCAGGCTCCATTTACTTGCTGCCAAGGTCAAGTGTGGGAAGGTTTATATACCTTGCCACCTCCTTCTCCCAGGAAAAGCCCTGGTCTCTTGCCTTCCACTATTGGATCTCTTGACACTAGAGGTCTTTGGGCAGTATACAAGGTGCATGCCTGAGGCAGGAGGGACTCCACACTCTCCTTCACAGCTTTTAAAGCCAGCTCCGGATGTCCAGACAGAAGCCAGGCTTGCTTTGTGTCCTGTCCTCCATCCTTCCTGGCCCTGGGGGCAGCCCAAGGGGAAGGGTTGCTCCCAGGGTTCCCAAATGGCTCTGTTTCATCTCCCAGTGGTTCCCAGTGGCAGTTGATTATCCTTGAAAGCCCTCACAGCTGTCGAATCTTTCATTTGCTCTGGAGCCAGGATAACTGGTGTGCTCCAGGTCCAAAATAGTCTAAGACAACTGCATCCTGTCCATCTAAAAGTCACCCTGCAGGTTCTTGCAGACAGCCCCCAGCAGCTGCTTAGTGTTTATGCACACTGTTTAACAGCTGTATTTTGGAAAGGGAGAAGGGATTCCTGTAACGTGTGCAGTTGTCTCAACTGCCTTGGAAAGAAACAGCACACTGTCTGTCCCGGCTTGACTGAAAATGCCCTCAGCCAGTGTTAACTGTGCCAAAACCATAATTACCTCATCTTCCTTGTTCTTCTGGGCTGAGAGCTGTTTTTTATAGGGGATAATAGCAGTGCTGCTTCTTTTCCTAACAACCTCCTGTGAGATGCTTCTGATGTCTCTGTCTTGAATTCGCA